GGCCATCTTTTACTTTTTAATGGGCTTTATTTTTTAGGACACTTTTAGATTTTTTAATTTTACAGAAAAACTGAGAAGATAGTATAGAGTTTTTTATATGCCCCATCCTCAGTTTTCCTTATTATTAACATCTTAGATTTAACATTTTTAACAACTAATGAACCAAAATTGATACATTATTAACTAAAATCCACAGTTCCTTTAGATTTTCTTAGTTTTTACCTAAGTCATTTTTCTGTTTCAGATTCCCAACTAAGATGCCAGATTACACTAAGTTGTCATTTTCTTTAGGCTCCCCTTGGCTGTGACAGTTTCTCAAACTTGCCTTATTTTTTATGACTTAGACAGTTGTGAGGAGTACTGGTCATATATTTTGTAAGGATGCTGCACTATTGCAATTTGTGTGATGTTTTCCTCATAAAATTTGGGTTATGAGTTGGGAGAGGAAGACAGTAGCGTTAAAGTGCCATTGTCATCACGTCATATTAAGTGTTCATACTGTCAACATGATTTATGACTATTGATGTTGACTTTCATCACCTGGCTGAGAAAGTGTCAGGTTTCTCTACTATACTCTTTTTTCCTCCTTCTACACTTGCATGCTTTGGAAGGCAGTCATTGTGCACAGCCCACGCTTAAGGAGTGGGTAGTTATGCTCCCTCTCCCTGAGGGTAGAGTGTTAATGTAAATTATTTGAAATTTTGCTGCCCGGAGATTTGTCTCTTCTGGTTGGTAATTTTTTACTGGATGCCAAATACAATGAATTTCATATTGTTCATACTGATGAATTCCTATTGGTGAATTTTATATTTGCTGGATTTTGTTGTAGTTCTTTCAGTTCTATTGAATTTAACTCTGGCATGCAGTTAACATTGTATGAAATCATTTGTTCCTTTTGAGGCTTAAATAAAGCCTTGTTAGAGTGGTTCAAGAACAGCCTTTAATCTAGCACTTAGTCCATTTTCTAAAGTAATATACCCTTCTGATTACTCTACCTGATGTTGACATATTATGACATTTTTCCATTCTGGTTGGCAAGATTGAAAATTATTCCCAGCCTTGTGTGAGCTGCAGAAATTGTTCGGTCTACTGATTTCTGGAGATTCTTTCTCTGGCCTTGATGAGTTTCACTACATGCATGTGCAGATCAGCACTCAGCCACAGCCTTGAGAGAATCCCTTTGTAAATGTTCAAAAGTTTCTGTGAAGTTCCCTCCTCTGTGTTACTCTGCTCAGCAAACTGTAGCGCCTTAGTATGATACAGAGTTTTTCTTCCTGTATACTTTGTTCTGTAAAGCCAAACTTCACTTCTAGCAATCTTTTAAAGTGCAAACTGATTTTTAAATTTTTGGTATAATTTTACATCAAGAAAACCAAATGAGATTTATTTAATACATGACTGTTAATAATGTATTATTTATCTATATACTCTCCCTCTATACAGAGTGGGAAATTGTTTTTCTATGGTAACTGTGGTCAGACCTTTGTAAAATATATTCCATACTTTTTATTTCTAAGTTTTTGCTTATTTTGTAGATCCATATATTCTCCTTTTCTGCCAGGCTTATAAATTAGGCTGTTGCTTTAGAGCAGGAGCTGGCACTTTTTCTGTAAAGGTTTGAAGAGTAAATATTTTAGGCTTTGCAGGTGTATGGTCTTTGTTGCAACTACTTAACTCTGCTCTTGTAGTGAAAAAGAAGCTACAGACAACATATAAATGAATGGTCATAAATGTACTCCAATAAAACTTTACTTACAAAGTAGGCAGTGGGCCAGATTTGACCTGTTGGTTGTAGTCGGCCTATTCTAGCTTAGGGAATTATTCAATTTAAAATATTTGCATGAACAAATGCCCAAACAATGTGGAGTGAACAATACGGGAAAAAAGCATTCTAGGACAAGGGAAGAAACTGTAAGGACCCTGAAGTAGGAATGAACTTCATTATATTCAAGGAACTGCCAAAAGGCAAGGGTGGATGAATCAAAGTAAATGAGGGAGAGTGTGGTAGGAGATGTAGTAGAGAGGTAGGTAAATCATGTGGCTCTTTTTCCCTCTGTAAGGACTCTGGATTTTATCTCAGATGTGGTGGTAAACATACAAGTATGTTGAGCAGGAAAATGGCATGATCTCATTCATGATATGTATAGAATAGGGTGCAGATGGGCAAGAGGGGAAACAGAAGAGTAAAAAGCTATTGCAGTAGTTCCAGGCCAGTGATATTTCTGGAAGTAGTCAGAAGTGTTTGGGCACAAGATATATTTTGAAGGTGGAGCTGACAGAACTTTTTGTTATACAAATACAGCATGAGAAGGAAAGAGAGGACAAAAAGCTGACTCATAGGAATCTTCAGAGCCAATGCAGGCTGAACTAGCTAGAGGTGTATCAGAGGCTTAGCAAAGAGAGCAGACTGGGATTCCAAAAGGTTGCTAAAAAGTCTTTATGATACCTCCAAAGAAAACCTAGTCCTCACATCAGAAAGATTAACAACCCAAAGTGAATGGGGATATGTAAGCAGATAGGGATTTAGCCTATATGGAAAAATTTAAGATTCTTAATTCTTCAAAGCCTCTTGTTGGAAAGAGAAGTCCTTGGGATGATGGAAAAGACTCAGGTTTTTCTGAGAAGATAGAGTTAGACTAGAGTTCATGACTAGCCTGGCCAACGTGGTGAAATCCTGTCTCTACTAAAATTACAAAAAAATCACCTGAGTGTGGTGGTGCATGCCTGTAATCCTAGCTACTCGGGAGGTTGAAGCAGGAGAATTGCTTAAATCCAGGAGGCGGAGGTTGCAGTGAGCCAAGGTTGTGCAACTGCACTCCAGCCTGGGGGACAGAGCAAGACTCTATCTCAAAAAATAAAAAAAAAATAAAAAAAGAGAGAGAGAGAAAAACTAGATTGATTTTGCTTCCAAGGATAAATAAATCCAATAACAACAAATGCACGAATGCATACATATATGTATCTGCGTCCATGGTATGAACACACACAGATATTATGTCTTCTTTATCAAATTTCATGCCAAGGTCCACTGATCTCACATCTGGAATTTGTGTCATCCTCTTACTGGTCAGCTTTCAACCTCTCTTCATTTAGCCTAGATATTCTTTTTTATGCTGCTGCCCTTTGAATTGTCTAAATCAATGCTTGTAAAATTATCTGTGATGAAGGGCCAATTTAAAAAGTCTCAATCTGTCATGGACTGATACTTTTGTAGAATACAATATAAATTACTCAAAAAAGTAAAATAAAAAAGGGAAAGATTACAAAGTACAAGCCCAATTTTGTAATTATTAGATTCAACTGACATACAATTACTGTCAATTTATTATGAAGATTTCTAAAAGTTTACTCCTAATTTCTATATATCTTTGTCCCAGACTGTTAACCACATGGTATGTGGACCACGTTATGAGTAGCAATGATATAAACCATTCCAGATCTCAAAAATCTCATCATCTGTTAAACAAACATAAACCTCTCACTATTGTCCTCTAAACTCTGTACCAATTAGTTCAGTCTTGCCTGTGTCTAACAGGCAATCTCTTGTGTTCTTTTCCACACAAGGGACTGTTTTTAATCCATTTATTTCTTTCCCTCTGTTTATTCAAAACATCCTAAATACATCACATATATATCACAACCGAATACTTACCTTCCTCAGAAAGCTTTTCTAGAACATCCTTACCTAATGTTTACCCCTTTGGCATTTGTATTTTCTTATATTTATTAGTACAGGTTTATATTATTTGTATTGTTTCCTTTAGTAGAACATAAATTACTTCAGAGTAAACCCAGATTTTTACACTAAATATAAAAATGTCTAGAATATAGTAACATGGATACCCAAACAATAAAAAGCAGGTAAGTGGCCAAGTGCGGTGGCTCACGTCTGTAATCTCAGTCCTTTGGGAGGCCGAGGCAGGCGGGTTACTTGAGGCCAGGAGTTCGAGGCCAGTCTGGCCAACATGGTGAAACCCTATCTCTACTAAAAAATTAAAAAGGTTAGCCAGGTGTGGTGGTGCACACCTGTAATCCTGGCTACTTGGGGGGCTGAGGCATGAGAATTTCTTGAACCTAGGAAGTGGAGGTTGCAGTGAGCTGAGATCGCACCGCTGCACTCCAGCATGGGCAACAGTGTGTCTGTCTCAAAAAAAAAAAAAAAAAAAGCATGTAAGTAATTGCTTACCTGTCTAAGAGTCTATGTGTGTGGGGAGATAAAGTACTGTTGAATATGAAACACTATCTTTCACTATGGGAATTTGTGTTTACCCCCTTTTCTCCCATGCTCTGCTTTCTTTTATTTTCTTACTAGGCCTATCTCCACTAACTCTGGACCCTAAAACAGCTCACCCAAATCTGGTGCTCTCCAAAAACCAAACCAGCGTCTGGCATGGTGACATTAAGAAGGTAATGCCTGATGATCCAGAGAGGTTTGACTCAAGTGTGGCTGTGCTGGGCTCAAGAGGCTTCACCTCTGGAAAGTGGTACTGGGAAGTAGAAGTAGCAAAGAAGACAAAATGGACAGTTGGAGTCGTCAGAGAATCCATCATTCGGAAAGGCAGCTGTCCTCTAACTCCTGAGCAAGGATTCTGGCTTTTAAGACTAAGGAACCAAACTGATCTAAAGGCTCTGGATTTGCCTTCTTGCAGTCTGACACTGACTAACAACCTCGACAAAGTGGGCATATACCTGGATTATGAAGGAGGGCAGGTGTCCTTCTACAATGCTAAAACCATGACTCACATTTATACCTTCAGTAACACTTTCATAGAGAAACTTTATCCCTACTTCTGCCCCTGCCTTAATGATGGTGGAGAGAATAAAGAACCATTGCACATCTTACATCCACAGTAATGAGTCATACTATTATACAAATTCAGAGTGTTATTAAAGAGGTATTGAAATATTTTACCAGTCTCACTGTCTCACTGGATTCTCTTCTCAATTTACGGGGAACGATGGAATAATGAAAAGAGGATGCACAAATCAAATTCCATTCTTTCAGTATCCTAAATGGATTTCACTGGAGCCTTTCAAGATATGATTCTTCTCTGGGGTCTTTCGTGACACAGGAGCCACTCTCATGAGAGTGATCATCATGCTACTGTTACTGGAGCAAACTGCAACTTGAGTTTGCGATGTTTGGGAACCCTTTTCAAATATGCCCAGAAATTATCATGCTGTCATATTTTCCAGCATAATGACCCTTAGCAGATGAATTTTCAGTAGTTCACTCTTCTTACTATTTAATTATTTTTCGATATACATTTTCATCTTATTTCTTTTTTTAGAACTTACTGCTGTAATTTTATTTTATTTTTTTGAGACAGAGTCTTGCTGTGTTGCCTAGGCTGGAGTGCAGTGGCATGATCATGGCTCACTGTAGCCTCAACCTCCTGGGCTCAAGCAATCCTCCTACCTCAGACCCTGAGTAGCTGGGACAATAGGTGCACACCACCACAAGTAGAGATGGGGTTTCACCATGTTGCCCAGGCTTTTCTGGAACTCTTGGGCTTAAGAGATCCTCATGCCTCAGCCTTCCAAAGTGTTGGAATTATAAGTGTGAGCTACCATGCCTGTCCTGTAATTTTAAACCATGCTCCACAGGCTTAAATAAAAAAGTAGGAAATGATCTGGACTAGTTTATAATCTTGCCTTGAATTCTCTCAAGATACATTTTAGTCCAGCAAATCTGTGATTCTTTCCCTTCCTTTCTCAGTTCCATTTCTCTGCTTTATCTATCTGCAGGAGACATGCATATATATGCAGTCTGAGAGATGGGGTCTCATTATGTTGCCTAGGCTAGTCTTGAATTCCTGACCTCAAGCATCCTTCCACCTTGATCTCCCAAAGTTCTAGGATTACAGATGTGAGCCACCACACCCCACCTCCATCTACTTTTGACTACATCCTTTTTCATCATTCCTGCCTATAATTTAAGTAGTATTTTGCATCTTGTTCTCTCCAACATACTCATCCTTGAGCTTGTTCCAAGTCTAAAATTCTCAACATCATTGATCTCAGCAGTACTCTTGATTGATTGTCCCTATTTCCTTTCTTTGGAAGTCCTCATCTAAATGGGCTTTATTCTCGATAGCTGACAGTTTTGGGGGGACTTTTTAGGACCTTCAGCATTGGTCCTCTAAAATTATAATTAGCACAGTTTTTGGTTTTTTTGGGGGGTCAGGGCAAAAACTTAAATGTGTGTATGTGAAAAATAATGCAAATGCTACGGGCAATATTCATGTAGTTTGTTATATACAATATGCATACATTTACAACTGATTTGGATACACAGCCATAACAGGATTAAGACTACATTTAAGAAATTGTCTTTTTTTTTTTTTATGATTTCACTTCAATCAGAACATAGTAAGAACATGTTTTGTGCCTGGAATCTTGCTTAATGTCTTAAAGGGTATAAAAGCAGCATAAAAAGAACAGCATGCCAATAGAAAGTAATCTGACTAAAAATTTACTTCTAAGGTATAAAAAGTTACAGCTAAAATATATTATTATTATTTTTTAAGACAAGGTCTTACTCTGTCACCCAGGCTGGAGTACAGTGGCACGAACATGGCTCATTGCAGCCTGGGACTCTTGGGTCCTCCCACCTCAGCCTCTCAAGTAGCTAGGATTATAGGCGCAGGCAACTACGCCCAACTAAATTTTTATTTTTAGTCGAGACGAGGTCTCGCTATGTTGCCCAGGTTTGAAATATATTATTCTTAAGATGCAATGGTTCTTAACTCTGAATACACATTAGGTTCATGGAGGAAGCTTTAAAAAAATTTAGATGCCTGGACTCCAGCCAAGACCAATCAAGTAAAGATCTCCAGCAAGTGAAACCCTGCTAGAGTCCCCGTGTACAGTGGCTACAGGCCACTAATTTCTAAAAGCTCTCAGGCGATTCTAATGTGTGGCTGGGGCAGACAGCCACTGAACTAAAGCAACATGTTTTATTTATGTATTTATTTTTACTTAAAAAATTTTTTTCTACAAGTTATTGGGGTAAAGGTGGTATCTGGTTACATGAGTAAGTTCTTTGGTGGTGATTTGTGAGATTTTGGTGCACCCATCACCTGAGCAGTGTACACTGCATCGTATTTGTAGTCTTTTATCCCTCGCCCCCCTCCTACTCTTCCCTCCAAGTCCCCAAAGTCCATTGTATCATTCTTATGCCTTTGCATCCTCATAGCTTAGCTTGCACATATCAGTGAGGACATACAATGTTTGGTTTTCCATTCCTGAGTTACTTCACTTAGAATAACAGTCTACAATCTCATCGAGGTCACTGCAAATGCCGTTAATTCATTCCTTTTTGTGGCTGAGTAGTATTCCAGTGTATAAACATACCACAGTTTCTTTATCCACTCTTTGATTGATGGGCATTTGGGTTGGTTCCATGATTTTGCAATTGTGAATTGTACTGCTATAAACAAGCATGTGAAAGTATCTTTTTCATATAATGATTTCTTTCCCTCTGGGTAGATACCCAGTAGTAGGACTGCTCAATCAAGTAGTTCTACTTTTAGTTCTTTAAGGAATCGCCACACTGTTTTCCACAGTGGTAGTACTAGTTTACATTCCCACCAGCAGTGTAGAAGTGTTCCCTGTTCACTGCATCCATGCCAACATCTACAGTTTTTTGATGTTTTTGAGTATGGTCATTCTTGCAGGAGTAAGGTGGTATCGCATTGTGGTTTTGATTTGCATTTCTCTGACCATTAGTGATGTTGAGCATTTTTTCATATGTTTGTTGTCATTTGTATATCTTCTTTTGAGAATTGTCTATTCATGTTCTTAACCCACTTTTTGATGGGAGTTTGTTTTTTTTTTCTTACTGATTTGTTTCAGTTTGTTGTAGATTCTGGATATTAGTCCTTTGTCAGATGTATAGATTGTGAAAATTTTCTCCCACTCTATGGGTTGTCTGTTTACTCTGCTGACTGTTACTTTTGCTGTGCAAAAGCTCTTTAGTTTAATTAAGTCCCAATTATTTATCTTTGCTTTTATTGCATTTGCTTTTGGGTTATTGGTCATGAAATTCTTGCCTAAGCCAATGTCTAGAAGGGTTTTTGCAATGTTATCTTCTAGAATTTTTATGGTTTCAGGTCTTAGATTTAAGTCCTTAATCCATCTTGGTTGATTTTTTTTATAAGGTGAGAGATGAGGATTCATTCTTCTACACGTAGCTAGCCAATTATCCCAGCACCATTTGTTGAAAAGGGTGTCCTTTCTCCACTTTATGTTTTTGTTTGCTTTGTCAAAGATCAGTTGGCTATAAGTATTTGGGTTTATTTCTGGGTTCTCTATTCTGTTCCATTGGTCTATGTGTCTTCTTTTTTTTTTTTTTTTTTGAGATGGAGTCTCTCTCTGTCTCCCAGCCTGGAGTGCAGCAATATCGGCTTGCGGCAAGCTCCACCTCCCGGGTTCATGCCATTCTCCTGCCTCAGCCTCCCGAGTAGCTGTGACTACAGGCGCCCGCCACCACGCCTGGCTATTTTTTTTTTGTTTTTTGTTTTTTTTTAGTAGAGATGGGGTTTCACCGTGTTAGCCAGGATGGTCTTGATCTCCCGATCTTGTGATCCACCTGCCTCGGCCTCCCAAAGTGCTGGGATTACAAGCATGAGCCACCGTGCCCAGCCTTCACAAATAATTTTAAACCTATTAACATTTCACTCTTGTCATCATGTGCAGGAGAGCAACTAGTCCTCAGTGGAATACAAATTGTTTCTAGCTGAAGTTTTCTTTTCCTGACATCATGCTTGTTCCCGCACATCCATGATATCCAATCAGGGTATCTCAAACAACATTGCGCCTGGCAATGGAACTCACTTCAGAGTAAAAGAAAGCAGGTAATGACTAATACCAATGGAATTTACCAGGCTTACTATTACTTAATTAACCAGAAGGAATTAGCCTTACAGACCATACAAAATATTTGCTTTCTCCTTCAGATCATGAAAGTATTAGACTAAAAATCATTTCTAAAATGTAACTCCTCCATTTCTGACCTGGATAAGATGGCAGATTCTTGCCCTCTCTAGTCCTCTCCACAATGCACAATAATAAACATTGCAAAAATAACTCAAGAGACAATGAAAGGGGGAACTCTGAGAGGTAGAAGACGAGGGTGCATCAGTTTGAGATCCCAGGACTGGAGAAGCGACACAGTGTCAGGGTATCCTATGTCCTTCCAACCTACAAAAGAGGTGATCCAGGTCCAGCATTTTCTGATATGAGCCTAGCAACAGAAGGCAGCCCAGGTAAGCTAAGGTCTCCCCAACATTGCATAGGAGTCCACCTATACCACCACCTGAGCCCAGCAAATAGGGTGGATCAGAAGCCCACTTATATATAAGGGGCTAGGGAAGCTTTCTTCTTCTTCTCTGATGGGCCTGAGACTCCCCTCCTCCTTCACCCAGAGACACCATGCAGTCGGAAGGCACCAGAAAGGGAAACACACCAAAAGAAGAGAGCATCAGGACTAACTGAATCTGTTTTGCAGACAATAATGAAAAAGAAAATCCAAAAAGAAATAATTTTTTTGAAAGCATTTACTTTGCAATCGGACACAAGAAGGTCCTGTAGGCATGGACCAAGTCTATACAGCCATAACTCATGGCCTAGAGAGCCCCTGGAATGTACAGCTACAGACAGCCACAGATACCCATATCCTTGCCCCTAGGGACGTCAGGAAAGAGGGTGTCATCTGCCAGACGGTGTGTGACCATGACTCAGGATTAATTCCCTTCAATCTCTTCAGAGACAAAATGAAATGAGGGATAAGTCATCCCTGACTTTGTTTAAAACACAGCACCCTATATAGGTTTTACAAACATCTTATTTTTTATGGCCTTTTTCTGTTATTTCATTTTTTTTTTTTTTTTTTTTTTTAGAGGGAGTCT